CTCCATCTGGACATTGAGCCGTTGACCACTACCCTCTGGATACGACCATCTAACCAATTCCTCACCCACTGGACAGTCCACCCATCAAATCCATACTTCTCCAGTTTAGAGAGAAGGATGTTGTGGGGGACTGTGTCAAAGGCCTTACAGAGGTCCAGATAGATGACATCTGCAGCTCTTTTTACATGTATAAACTATGGCTGTAACAGGTAAGACGTCTACGAGCCAGTTGAAGTAGGAGCACAAAGAATTTTTTGTTTAATGTTTTAAAGCAGATGGGAAATAAATTCTTACGGGCTTTCTGGCTTTTAGGCATTAAATTGGCAGCATCAGACCAGTTTTTAACTGCAGGACTGACCTCATGGTCTGTTTCTAATGTGAGTTCATATTTTATGCCTTAAATAGTGTCCTTATCTCCGTAGGATGCATCAGGATTCTGCCTGTTATAGAAAAGGAAGTGGAGGCTGAAGTTCCTCATAGTTGAAGAAATAGGAAAATTTAAAGCTGTATGCAGTAAGCCCGGTTTTGAAGATTCAGGAAGTAGGTATTAGAAGCAGTTTTCAAGCTGCGGTGTCTGAGGCTGGTTCCCTAAATTTGTTATGGCTCTGTCTAGCTAAGCAGCTAAATGATGAGTTAAGTGTGTAAATCCCTGTTGAGTTGCCTATATTTAATAATTAGAAGTATCAGTTGTGGACATCTAAGTCTGTACTGAAGAACCAATCTATCAAGATCAAATCCTAAAAGGGGTTGAGGACCTGCTTAACACTTGCAAATCTTACTAGCTTCATGGTTAATATCCCAGCATTTGATTTGTAAAAACTATTGTTTGGACAAATATTGTGTCTACTCATTCTGATGCTGCAACAAACCAGCTCAGAGCTTGTGTCTGAAAATCAGAACCTTTTTGCATTTCTTGGAATTACTTCATTTGTGATTTATTTGACTTGATTTTCTCCATAAGAAAAGCTAAACTTCCAGTGCTACACTTAAGGGTAAAGGTGGCTATCAAAATAGGGATGCCTTAGTCAGAGCAGCTGCGGTTTTTTGGGGAGCATTGCCCTTTCGCCTCCTGGTATAAGCACATTGTGAAATGTAACTGCAATACTCAATGGCAGCATCCAGCAGCCCTGTTCTGCTGGTTGAGAAGTCGTACTGGGGATTTGGTTTTCCTAGGTGTTAAAAGGAGGCGACTGTACAGAAAAGTGAGTAATGTGGACAAATACTTCAGGGTAGTCTTATTAACAGTTACCACTCCATAATCTTAGGTTAATGTGATGGTGGGGCTCCAAAATTGTTACACATGCTGTAATTATTAGAAACTCCAAATGGAGATGTTACAGTTCTTATTCGGTAGGGGATTGCCATGCTAAATGATGATTCCAGAAAAAAATAATGAAGATGAAGATGAAATCCTGAGTGCAGTGAGCAAGTGTGAGAAAAAGCTGAAATCTGGTGGGCTTGGCAAGGTCCTAAACTTGTATAAGTTGGAACAGACCCTTAAGAGAGCTTCAGATGAAAATGGCTTACTGCCCCATTTCCCCTTTTTCGTACAGGAGGCGTAGAATAAACAGCAGGAATCCCTCACAACTGTAATCAGGAGAGGGGAAAAAACCCCAAACAACCAAACCAAAGCCAGAACAAAACAAATCTCCCTCTGCACCCTGAGCACACCACCCAAAGAGTGCTGTGGAAATCTGTCTGCTGCTCTTCCTGTCTTCTGTGAGCTCTGCTGCCTTATGGGCTTGAGCTTTTGTCATCTCACTTTGGGGCCATGGCATATACCGATTCTGGCCCTTGGAGCTTCTCTTTAAGGTTGGGGTGAGGAGCCACTTGAATAAGAACTTAGGTTTGTGGATGCAGACATAATGTGATGATGGAAGCATATGAGGAAAGAAAGGGAGAAGACAGTCTCTGGTGGGCTTGGCAAGGTCCTAAACTTGTATAAGTTGGAACAGACCCTTAAGAGAGCTTCAGATGAAAATGGCTTACTGCCCCATTTCCCCTTTTTCGTACAGGAGGCGTAGAATAAACAGCAGGAATCCCTCACAACTGTAATCAGGAGAGGGGAAAAAACCCCAAACAACCAAACCAAAGCCAGAACAAAACAAATCTCCCTCTGCACCCTGACCACACCACCCAAAGAGTGCTGTGGAAATCTGCCTGCTGCTCTTCCTGTCTCTGTCAGCTCTGCTGCCTTATGGGCTTGAGCTTTTGTCATCTCACTTTGGGGCCATGGCATACCGATTCTCTGGCCCTTGGAGCTTCTCTTTAAGGTTGGGGTGAGGAGCCACTTGAATAAGAACTTAGGTTTGTGGATGCAGACATAATGTGATGATGGAAGCATATGAGGAAAGAAAGGGAGAAGACAGTCTTTGCGGGGGGGGGGGGGGGGGGAGGGGGC